CCCCGTCTCCGCGGGGTGTGCAAGCGGGAGGCGGGGGGGCGCGGGGCGGCGGCGGGTGCAGGTAGCCTGTGCGTTCAGGCCCGCGCGCTCCTCCTCGTGCGCGGCGCGCAGGGCTTCCAGCTCGCGCTCCAGTTCCGCAGCCTGGTTGCTCAGCCAGACCTGGGCGCATTTCTCGGCCTCGACCGCGCGCCGGCTGCGGGCCACCTCCTCTGCCATCCGCTCCCGAGCCAGCCGCTGCTGCTGGCACCGGCCCGCCACACCCTCCACTTCTTCCACCAGGTTGTCGCGCGCCACTTCGGCCGCGTGCTTCTCCTGCCAGCGCTGGTCGACAAGAGCCCGCAGGGCTGCTAACTCTTTGTCAGCACGGGCTCGCCAGGAGGAGTCCCGGGACTGTGCCCGGAGACCATCGAGCTCCGCGCTGAGCAGCTCATTCTGCTCCTCTAGCGCCTTGACCCGGGCCAAGTAGGCTTCCAGGCGCCGATTGAGCTCCCACATCTGAAAAGATTCCTCCCCCAGGCAGCCCTCCATCCTGCTCGTCAAACCCACCAAGGGCGGAAAGAAGCAGGGTGCGGGAGAGGACAGCGGCTCTCAAAACTTTGAGGAGGAGGGAGAAAAGGCAAGATGGGGACAATGACGGGGTGGGGCTAGGAGAAGCCGAGCAACGCGAGTCGGGAGTGGGAGCGGGGCTATTCATACTCCCGCCAGCCCGGCGGGGAAAGGGGCGGGCCCAGACCTTAACCCCTTGAGTTCAGAGGAAAGCCCGCAGCCTCTGTCTCCGCTGCCCTTAGTGGCGAAGAGTGGAACTAAAGAAACCAGGTCTAGAAAGTCGGCTATGGTGCTGGCTTTCCGTGAGGGAAATCATAACTCCTGATAAAAGCACATTATGCACAAACTCGAGCCTGTGCGGGCGTTGCAGGCCTTACTTAGCAGGGCAAGAGAGGCTATTATCGACTCGGTTTCTTCATCCATAAAATGGAGCAATGAAGAACATCTCACAAGACTGCTGAAAGCACGGGTGGGCAGATGGCAAACTTTGCCCTCCTGAAGTGCTGACAAGCAGCATTGCTGGGAGTTAGGCAGACAGTGCTGGAAAGCAAGAACAAATACATGCCATTAGGAGACACAGCAGTGCGCGCTTGGGTAAGTGGGTGCGCACACCACGCACGCTCCACTCCACTGCCTCAGCCTTCATCAGGAAACCGAAAGATCAGGCAAAAAGTTTCCTGGTTACTCACCTCCATCCTTCCTACAGCTCTTCCGTGTACCCTGGGGATCACCTGATCACTTTGGGCAGCTGAAGAACCCCTCCAGTTCTCTCCCCACCCTAGCCATAGCGTACGGAATTTTGCCGAGGGCGCCCCCTTGTGGCTAACAAAGACGACGAAGCGGAAAGAAGAGGCCCCTCTTCCCGTTATCACAGCTCCGTTATCACAAACAACTCCGTTAAGGCAAGCAACTAGCTCGGGCGCGTTGAGTCCTCCTGATGGCCAGATCATGTTCTAACATCTCACTTATATCCTCTAAAAATCCTGAAAATATCCCTTTCAGGGGTCTACAGTTCAGGAAGTAGAGCTCACAGGGTACAGATTCCTCACTGGGGAAGGCCTTCTGGAGGGTGAAGGTTCTCCCGCTTAGAGCAGGGTAACATGGGAGGTGGGATTCGCGGTAGACAAAGAGGAGGTGAGATCCGAGGAGAGTCCGGGTAATAAAACTGAGCCCGTCTTTGAGAAAGCCATTTCTGCTCGTGTAAATCCAACTCAACTGTACAAGTGTTAGCTGAACATATTGTCAGCGCCTAAGAGACAATAAATACAATGAGTATAATATTATTGTTACTGTAATCAGCACCTATGGTGTCCACAGAGAGCTGGGAGCACAAAGAATGGTCTGGTGCAAAGTACAGCAGGCCAATGACCAGGGGGTCATTCCAGTAATACGCTCACCCCTGTCCTCAGCCACTCTGGCTTTGGATTCACTGTCTACATGTGGAATGCAGGTCAGGGAGGGGCCAGAAGCTGGACTTCTCCATCCTCACACCCTGCTGTGCAGTTTGGGCTTGGGCCTCTCCCTCCTCGTTCATTTTCCAGGTGTAGAGAGAGATGCTGAATATTTGAGATCTCTAAGATATTTGAGCTCATGGACGGGGTCCCATGGAGAGCTTCAATGGCCTGGGGAGTTTCTCCCCTGGGCCCCTCACTCTCACCCAAGAGGAGAGACACTTACTTGGCCCTGTGTCTCCTGAGGATAGCACTGGGTCAGACTGCAGCACCTTCTGGCTGAACCGCCTTAGTGTCACATAACTTCTCTAACGAGTCTCAGTTTACCTGCTTGGTATTCATCCTATAAGTTTATTCCGAGTGTCAGCAACAACAGGTGTGGAAGGTGTATACAAAGCCTCTTCGAGGACTATCATTAAGTTGGAACAAACCCCTCCTAGGAACCTCTCGTGGTGAGTTGTGAGGGTCAAGAGGCCAGAAGCCATCTAAAATGCTGGAGAAGAGCACAGTGTTGGTTTTCCTCAGGCAGGAAAAGGGGGCTCCAGAGTCACAGACCAGAAGAACAGACACCAGTGCTTACCAGATTCCAACAGATATTTCAAGATATTCCAACTGACATTTCAAGCAACAGGAAATCCCAGGCCTCGCGGGCACCAGCAGGAAATCTGTGGGCACAGGGTGGGCCAGATGGCCAGGGAATGTGGAATGAAGTTTCACGAGGACCGTCTGCCTTGGGATTACAGCTAAACTGTAAAACATGATGATCTGAGTAGCGCATACAGCAAAGGCGACAGAACTACCCTGCAGGCCCCATCCCTGCCCCAGTCTACATGGCAGCTGGAGTCCAAGGGGCCGTGTGCAGCAATGCTGGAGTTGGGGGGTATCCCCCTCCCCTTCCCACCAATGCCAGTGGGTGCAGACAGCTGGGGTCTGCCCATAGCACCTCCTAGTGTCCCCCTCCTAAAAGCTGCCTTTTCGGGCTGTGGGTTACTCATCTGTCCTCTAGGTCTTACTGGGTAAGGGAAGCAGAACCCAGAATGAGACTCCCAGGAGTTGAGGGGGTTACAGGTCATCTGTCTCTGCAGGGCAGGTAGACCAGGAGGACTTGTGATAGGAGCCCCCCACCAGGCTGACGGTGCCCCACGCTTAAGTGACAGTTTCCTCCTCCCTCCTGCAAAGGAGGAAGACTTGGGGAGGACCAGAGAAAGAGATACAACTGTACCCTCAGATACTTTTCCTTTCTCTGGCATCCCTGAGAAAGGACACCTCCCATCTTCTTTGCTTCCTGATGCAGGACCAAGCCAGCATAAAGGAGGCGCCCTTGGCACCATCTCTGACCCAGAACCTGCTTTTATCTTCCTCTCCCCCATCTCTCTTCCCCTCCACTTCCCAGCTCATGTTCCTGCTGGAGGAAGGAGACACCAGATCAGGCTGGCAAAGCTCAAAGTCACAAGTCTGTGCACAAGATGAGATAGGGAGGGAAGTGAGTGTTCTGACAGTGGCTGGAGTCCAGGCAGGAGGGCTGGCCTGGAGAGGCTCAGTACCAAAAGTGCCAGAGGTTGGCGGAGCTGGCACAGAGGGGTAGAAGAGCCTGGAGGGGGTACTCAGGGCCTGCCCAAGGAACCTGGCTGTGGCTTGAGAGCTCTAGGTCTAGGCCACACCTGCTTTTCCTCTTCTGCCTTCTCTCACCCACTCAAGGAGGCCTGGAGCAGGCACTGGGCATCAAGAATGCCCCTTCTCTCTTTATTTTCTCCTTTCCTAGCTGGAAGGACGTTGGGGCTGGCTTTGCTGCCTTCTTTTTTCCCTCCATCTTGGAGGAGAGGCCTTTGAACAAAGAAGCCAGTCTCGGGCCTCCTTAGTGGTACAGGGGTTAAAGTCAGCACTATCAAGCTATCAAACTACCAACTTCCTCCTGAGTTCATTCCCCGGGCAGGGAGCTACCCACATGGTGCATCAGACCTCTCCTGACCCACCCACTGTTCCTCTCAGCAGGGATTTCAGTATATATATTTCAGTATTTCAGTAGATCCATTCATTTTGCTCCTTATATGTCTCTGGTGAATCCTCTTACCACCTGTACCTCAGTTCTTGTATGCAAACTAAAATTAAATCTTAAAAAAAAAAAAAAAGAGCCATTCTCTATCAGTCTATAACCCCAGGCTAGTCAGTTCACTCTTTTGGATCTTGATTTCCTCATTAATTTATTCAGAGCACTTCTCAAAACTCTATTGAATGCCAGGTACATGGAAGTCACCTAATGAATGTTGTCAAAGAACCAAAGATGGCGAATATAGAGCCCTGTCCCTGGGGGAGCCATAGCCATGTTGGAGGAGAGACAGGGAGCCTTGACTGTGCCCAGGTGGAGGGGGGTAAGCAGAGGCCAAAGGAGGCGCCAGGTGAGGGAAGGGTTTGGGCCTTTGGCCTCTAAGCAGTCAGGAGCCAGGGACGACTTAACCTCAGTTGAAAGGTAAGTGAGTCAGGTCTGCATCTTCGAAAGATCTCTGTGAAGGGCCAGGAAGGGGTGGGGGAGACCAGCAGGATGCAGTTGCTACCATCATGGGCCAAGGTGATGGGCCAAGTAGCTGTGGACAGGAAGGGGGGAGATGAGCATATTTAGGCTGCCTGTGGGAGGGCAAGAGGGGTCAGGAAGGACGCCCATCTAGGTGGCTTAGTTCTAGGGGTGGGGAGGGCATGGTGTGCATGGGAAGGTTACAGCGGCCTCCAGCTGTGCAGGGCTGGGATTCAGAGGAGAGGGATGATCCACGGCAGGTGGATAAGGTGGGGGCACAGGCAGGGCCACTACCCCTTCCCGGCCCTCCACAGTATTACTTCTAACACTGACCTTCTAGTGTTCTAAAGCAGCTCCCAGGGCCCTCCCTGGTGGCGCCACAGGTTAAAGTGCAACACTATGTAGTTAGCCGCAGCTTCAGCATCCCCGGCCAGTGGGGTGACCCACATGGCGCGGCAGACCTCTCCTGTTCCTCCCGCTGCTCCCCTCAGCAGTGTACTTGGTCCATCTGCCTGTTCTGCTACCTGCTCTGTCGCCAGTGAATCATCTCACCGACCCTGTACCTCTGACCTGTATACCAGTTCTGTATGCATAAATAAATAAATCTTTTAAAAAATAGAAATAAAAAATAATAAAGCAGCTCCCAGCCGGCTCAGCTGTGGTCACGCCCTGCAGAAAGCAAACGAGGCTCAGGAGATATGGCCACTAGGGGTCGCTAAGGCATCAGGAAGCTGCGTTTCCTCGGAAACTGGATTTTAAGAACTGATTTACATTGTGCATCAGGAAATATTGTCATTATTATTATCTCTATGCTTTTTTTTTTTTTACCCGAGGAAACAACTCAGGCTGGTTAACTACCCAATCCAAGATCTTGCAACTAGAACTTGAACTCAGAGTTCTGCCTCGGCTCACATTACCTGTCCCTGGGAAAGAAGGTGAAGGTGTGGAGGTCAGAGGAAGGGCAGGAAAGACCAGGGAGGGAATCTGTCATCTCATCACCATCCCTCATGCTTCTTCTGTTTCCTCACTCAAAGGCACCTTTGGCCACAGGGAGCCAGGAGATGACCAATTCCAGACTCCAAACCTTCTCCCTGCTCAAAAACAGAGCCCTTCAATTCCAACACCACCCAGGCCTCAAAGGCAGTCAGTGGAGAACAGAGAGGCCAGCTGGGACGGCCTGGAGCTGGGCTGGGAGCCGGGGAGGAAGCCAGCGGAGAGCGCCCTTGTGCACTCTCAGCACCCAGCTCCCTGCTGCTGACTGCTGCAGCTGGCCCAAGCCACCGTGGGGCTGAGGTCTGAGGTTGGGTTGGGTCAGAGCACCCCACTGAAGGAGAGCAGATACCTCGTGTTGTGCGCAGCAGGACAGGTAACTGGAAACTGTGACAAGGATGCTAAGACCACAGACTCTTAGAGCCCTGAAGAGACACATTACTGGTGTCTCTCAGCTTCCTTACAGGTTCAGTGGGGACAACAATACCCAGACATCTGGGCATCCCTCTGAGGTATGGTCAGGGTGTGTCCTGCGCAGCATATGTTTATGAAATGAATAAGTGCGGTCTGTGGTTGCCAAACACACCGCTTGTGACCTTTATCGTTTGCATGCTGGCCTTTGGAGGGCCATCGGGAAGTAGCATTCACCTTCAACCGGCGTCCTTGCTTTAAGGGCGTTTGCCAGCCCACCCTCCCTATGAAATAGGCACCAAAAGTTCCCATTACTCTGTTGTCTTGGTGCTGTCAGGTTTTCGAAGCTTTAC